TTTTTTTTTACAAGATTTGATAAGAATTTCTTGAATGCTGGCAATTTTCGGTAATTTGCTATTCCTTCTCGTCTCCTCTTAGCCGGATTTTCTAAACGCTTACGCGCACAAATGATTTTTGCTGCCGACAGCATTAATTAACCTAAATTTTATCTCTGGCTTCTCTCTATCGTGAACAATGTCCTGTGCCGAAACTTGCGTCAAAGCTTGTAATTATATTCTTTTTTCTGGGGTTGAGTAATCTGAAAGGAGTAATCGCAAATTGAAGATTCGGAGAAATAGATATTCATCAGTTTATCAATGACGGCTGTAGACTTCCCTTGTTCAAGAGACAGATGGGAATAAAATGCGACGAGAGATTCTAAGGAAAAATTGCGCCAGAAAAATTCTGCAAAAAAGCTTCACGACACAAAGACAGTTTCTTGTCTATTTCTAAAAATTCAAAACCTCAGTATAACTAATAATTCAAAACTAGCACTAGTATCATCCAAACAAATCTCGAAGAATTCGTAACCGCCCACTCCACGTTCTGCTATTTACATCACAAAGGGCCAGAAAAGCTTGTCTCCTGCGTTCCAAAGCAGATTTATGAAGCACATACCGACAGAACGTCAGCAACGTGACAAACATTTCCCGTTTCTGCGCGGCTTGCAATCTGTTCAGCACAGTTTCCACGACTGATCTGTCAGCGATCTCATTATCCACAATGAGAGATGCCACAAGGAAGGCGAGCTAAATGAAGTGAGCAATAAGAAGCTGAAATGTCATCTATGTAAAAAACTATAACTTCTTTTTACTTGAGGGGTCCATCGTGTACCAGGAGCTACGAGGCTACGCACAACATTTGATTTGTCCTGTCTTCGGAATGTGTCCAGAGGAATGTCCACATGTGCAAGATCGAGTAATCTCCCATACAGCACAGCATCCAGGTCCACACTGGAATTTTCATGGCATCGATTTGATCGTCATATAAATAGAAATGTAAGACCTTCGACTAAGTTGCGTGATCTATTTTCCAACAAAAATACTTGCACCTTCTTGCCAAAAAATGTTGTATTTAATTTCAATTCGAAACTGCATATCAGAAACAACAGTAATTGGGGAAGACGGCTTACCAAATTTTCAAATGATCATAATTAGCTTTCTTCAACTGCGCATCCGTATATGCACGCAGTAAAACACATGCAGCACGGACTATGGTTCTGAAACCTCCAGCTACTGTGGAAGCGTCCTATAAGCACAATGGTTATACAAGAATGCCGGATACCCACAAAGCGCGGCAAACCAACCCTTCGAAGGTACGTGATCAAGTCTCCCATTATTTTGTCCATATTGATCAGTTTCAAGATATATACAATTCTGGAATGTAAGAGTAAGATGTAAAACTCTCAGTAATCAGTTCGACCTTACCTATCGACTGTGACATCGAAGAATGGCAACAAAAACAGTTCATTTTCATCTGAGCCACTAATAGCGACATCTGCAGCCATATTTCCCATAGTCTGAAAATTTGGACGATAACGAAATTTCAGGTTTTCAGGCACCAACACATACATCATTTGGATCCACTGCATAAGCGTCATCAACCTTGTCCGCTATTAACCAACTCATTGCCAGTTCTTCTTGTATCTGCTGGAGGTTTCTGAGATGATTTGCTTTGGCTAGTTGTTCAGCAACAATCATCTTCTTTTCTGAATGTTCAAAAATTCGACAACTATAGTAAAAAAA